CAAACCTGAAATCATACAAACACGGGAAAACGGCACGGAGAATGTAGGGCAGAGAGACACTGAGATACACAGACGAACTGACGATGAGCACAGGTATACACACACTATAAATACACACGGAAGGGAATGAGGAATGGCCTAAACAGGAGGGAGACACAGCTGATCCTAATTGACATCACGAGACACAGACTTTCAAAGTAAAACAGGAAAATTACACAGACCGCGAACAGAGGAAACACAAGGGCAGGAATGACCCGACACTAAACAGGGGGGAGCACAAAACCTAACTAGAAAAAGCTTAACAGAAAACAACCAGAACACAAGATAATATTTATTAATACAAAAACCCTGAGTCACAGACTCAGGACCATGACAATCGAGGTGTTTGGCTAAATTGACAGGAAGTATGTTTGGATAAGTAAAGGTGAAGCTTTCAAATGTAAGAGCAATGTACCAGCTGTCAAGCATGGTGGTGGTAGCATCATGCTCTGGGGCTGTTTACAGTGATACTGGTACATTGCCGAAAGTGGATAAAATAATTAAGAAGGATTACCTGCAAATTCTTCACATTCACCTCAAATCAGCAGCTAAATGGTTGAAACTTGGACACAACTTGGACAATGATTCCAGTCATACATGAAAACTGGTTTTGGAACAGATAAAGCAGGCTAACATTTTCTGGAATGGCCATCCCAAAACCCCGACCTCATGTTGAAAATTTGTGTGCTAGGCTTAAAACTCTGGTCATGCCATAAAACCAACCAATTTAAATTAACTCTACTAATCCTGTTAGGAAGAGTGGTCAACTTGTGGCTTGTTGATGGCTAACAAAAGCATCTGGTCGAGGTGCAACTAGTGAAATCACATTTAACCAAATATTAGTGGGAGTCTATGTGTATATTTGAGCTTGTATGTATATTTTTGACCCTGTGCATACATCAAAATGAACCTATGTGAATTACAGAAAATCCAAAATAAACTGAAATTTACGCACTCTGTTCTTTTTAAAGCCATATAAGATACTGTTTTTTTTTTCCATCCTCAAAAAAGCAATTGTTCAAAGAACCAATAAAAATAAAAAACACAACTGTATGCCCGGATCTCAGTGTCTTTTCCATTAGCCTGATATTCCATTGATCCTGTAGTTTATCTTTCTCCTGAAGTCTGGGTGTGTTTCTGTGAAAGCCTCCTGCTTCTCAGCACGACTTTAATCAGGCAGCAAAACATTAAAAATGTCAGAGGAAGAGGAAACTGGCAAACGCTTTCTCTGCATGGACCTGTTTCATTTATGCACGGTCCATCTGATAAATCTGTGTCCATGCATCGAAAGTGTTCCAGATGAAAAGTGGGAAACAGGCAGTTTGACAGTGTTGTGAAAACATCGGGTTTGCAGACTGAACTGTTATTTTCATTGATCATATTGAAGGTCATGTAAAACAAAAGATAAAAGCAGAATGTGGTATTATGACAGCGCTTATAAATTCAATTTAAAAGCATAATTTAACAAATACACTGGTCCACAATGGAACACTTAAACCTCATGCTGTCATGTTAGTCCTACCGGCATGAAGATTTTTTAAAAGAAATCACGTACAGCATATAAAACGAATGCTTCAAAGGCTGTAATGTTTTAAAATGAATGAGCCCCTTTTGTTTTTGATCCTTAGTTTGCTCACTTTGAATATCCTATTCAGCTAAATCATCCTGAGACTTGGCATTATTATTTCAGTATATTTAGCATTATAGATAATTAATGTAGAGTGCAGCTCCCATACTGGTTTGAAGACTGTGACCCACATTTTCCTTTGAATTGTAACTGAGAGATGACTTTTTCACCTAAAATATAGGGCAGGAATCGGACATACATTGGGGTAACAGCAGATATCATCATAACATCATAGTCCTATAAAATCTTCTTGATCTTAACAAGCCTTGAACTACTTGGCAGGTTTGAAAATTGACCACGTGGGATTATTAATGACCAAGTTATATATATATATGGTATGAGCCTTTGTGATAGTTTTAATCATAAACAATAAATTTGTCGTGTAACTTCTCCAAAAACCTTTCACAGTTTTGGCCAGGTTAAACGGAAAGTTGTGTGGTCTAATTTCTGAAATTATAGCCTTTGAGTTTATTATAATTTTCCACTTTTAATCACTGCATTGTGATGTTTTCTGTGACGATTCACAGATGTCCCGGAGTACATGCAGTTTAACAGCCAAACAATCTAAACAGACAGGCAAACCATGGACCAATATGCTGCTTTCAGGGACATTTGGACAGTGTTTACAGCCCAGTTACCCAAATACTGGCTCTATTGTCATGATCTGTGTGGGGATGAACAGCTGGTAGATTTCAGATGCAGGGGCAGTTTGGGGCAACACATCTCCTTTTCTAAACAAGCAAATGTGGCATAAACACCTTTTTGCATGACTGAAAATCATAAATCCATTTGATCATTATAGAATATCTATCACAGATAAAGGAACCAATGGAGCCATTAAGAAAAAAATTTTCAAAAACATAAAATGACTTTCAGGGTTTAATATGCTGTTCAGATAAACTGCGCAGAGACTTGTCATTATTATTTCAGTATATTGAACATTATAGATTATTAATGCAGCTCCCATATTGGTGTGACAGGACTGACCCATATTTCTAATTATGTTATGACTTAGTGATGATGTTATCACATTCACTACAGGGCAGCAGTTTACAGTCAGCTTCATATAGTTTTCACACTCTGATTAGTCCATAAGGTGAGAAATAAATTAGGGTAATCACAGTTTTATTATCCTGTTCCCTTAATTTATTCATGCATATTTTAAAATTTAATCTCCAGCTGTCTTTGTCTTGTCACTGTCTTGACCTATTTTCCTGCTGTAAGAAAGAAAGGGAAAGTTGGAAGTGTGAAGGTTGCCTTAAACTTGTTTATTTATTTAACTTTGGTGTTGTGAGCGAGCCGTCCTGAACCTAATTATGTTTCTGTTTTATATCAATTCTGTGCTTGTTTCAGTGCACAGATGCAAAGTAGAGGTGCACATATTTATAACAGAAAATAATTTGAAGATTTATGCCTCTTGTTTTTGGTTCTTATGGTTAAATTGCATCCCCATATAGTTGCTTTGTGTGATTCTTGTTTATGGGTTGTTGTTTTTTTACAGTTTTGTGTATGTTTGCAGTTATTTTGTAATCTTTGAAATCATTATTTAAATTTATTTGGGGTCACTTTCATCTTCAGTCATCTCCATAGTTGTTAGTGCGAACCCAGCGAGGGTCGCCAGTGAGATATTAAGGAGGCTGCTGACTGATTAGCTGCTGTTATTTGGAGCAAAGTATCAGTGATGACAGCCATTTCCCCGTCCCTGGATCACGCATTAACAGTGATGATGAGTGAACCGTTCAGATGCCTTAAACCTTTTGCCAAATCTTCTCTCAGGAACCTTGGGATGACTTTTGTTTAATTCTGACCGTGGATGCTCACATTAAATCTCTGGTTCACTCTTGCTTTTATCAAATAGGACTTATTGCAAAGTCCAGGTCCACTGTGTCATGCTCTGAATTGTAGATTGCTATTCATGCCTTTAGTTCATCACCTTTGGATTTTAAATTTTTTTT